GATGTGTCTTGTTGACTATATAGCTCAAGGGCTGATTATGTATCTAAGGCTAACACACTTCTGTGAGTTGCTTTAAAAATCAGTAAAATCTAAACTATCGTATTTTCAGACTTCAAAACAATACCATTCTCTTAAACTAGCTGAGTCATTGTGTCAGAGAAAGAGAGGGAGGGAGGGATGGAAGGAGGTGGGAACAGAGGGAGGGAGGAGACTGAAATGATATGGGGAAGGAAGACATCTAAGAGGAAAAGCCCAACACGGAAAGGGCAGCGTGAAGAGCAAGCTGCTTAGGCTACGACTTCCAGACTGAGTTCAAACTTGCTTCCCCAGGTTTGCCATTTCCTATTTATCTTGTGCAAATGCTGCAGTCAGGTCTTTACTACAGAAATAACAACTCCTGCCTGTGAATTACATGGATTCCTTTTACATATTCTGACAGATTGATTGTCATTATTGATTAAATGGTAAGATGATGAAGAAGAAGAGGAGGAGGAGGAGGAGGAGGGGGAGAAGGATATACGTAGGTAGTTAAGGAGTCAAGATAAAATGCTGGCTAAAAAATAGACAGTAATTTTATGAAGACATACAATTTGCTGCCTAATTACAAACTCCTGGATGACAACAGGGTCCCTTTTGAGTCAAGGTCATCAAAAGCTGGTAGGCACTTCTCAGATCAGCTGGTGACTGAATTTGTGAAAACTAAGATGAGCCTGCGGAAGGACACTGGAATTTGTGTGCCAGGATAAGGTCAAAGTCAAGTACAACAAAGTCAACAAGCAAGCCACGGCCAGAAGCACTGGAATTGCAAGGACTGAGGTTGCAGAAGCTGAGCCAGCCAGAGGGAAAAGCCAGATTTTTCCCTTCAAATGTTGTTCTAATGCAGCAAATCAATCAGTATACTGCATTAACCAGTTAGTATAAAACATTCTACTAACGCTGAGTATCAGTGCACCGCCCTATAGTTGGATTCTCTAGAATTGAAAAATCATGCATTTAAGGAGATGTTTTCTCTTCACCATCTCACAGAAGTAAAATCTATTTGAAAGTATCTCTTATATAGAATAAATAGCATTCTATGTTCTGTGTCTTTTTTGTTTGTTTGTTTGTTTTAATAGAGACAGGGTTTCTCCATGTTGGTCAGGCTGGTCTCAGGTGATCTGCCCGCCTCAGCCTCCCAAAGTGCTGGGATTACAAGTGTAAGCCATCATGCCCAGCCATATTCTGTGTCTTAATTTTTTTTTTTTTTTTTAAAGACGGGGTTTCACCCTGTTGGTCAGGCTGGTCTTGAACTCCCGACCTCAGGTGATCCGCCCACCTTGGCCTCCAAAGTGCTTGGATTACAGGCGTGAGCCACCGGCCCTGTGTCTTAAATTTTTAAGTGAGACATATTTCTCTCAGTTTCTCAACCAAAGGATTAAAAACAAATTAAACTAACTTCATTTTTAGTTGAGATAATTGCTTCAATGGTCTTCAATTGAAAAATCAAGCCCTATCTGCTTATTAGAATAATTAAAAATCACCTAAAAAGGTGTACTAACAATATATTTTAGAAAACAATGCTTATCAAAAACATTCTGATAAATTAATAGAGAATTATCCTTTTAAAATGATTAACAGATACTGTTCCTAGCTAACAAACTTAATAATGGTTAAACTGATGGTTAAAAAATACTAATAAAATCTATTATTTCCCATGAGTTTATAATAGTTATATATAGAACATAAGTGGTCATATATGGCATATTTTCTCTTTCTCGGCTGAATGAAAACATTTTATATAATAAAAGCATCATAAAGACATTGATATGTCTTACCCTATATAGTTCAGCCAAGGGAAAATAACGTATTTTGGTAATAATGCAGGTATCTGTAGAAGCTACAATTTATTTGGTGTGGAAGGTCAGTCACTTTCTACAGCAATTCATTTAACTAGGACCTTTTGGAAAATATTGCTAAAATTGATTTGATAAGAATTTATTAAGCATTAATCTGGTTGGTTCCATGATATATAATTAAAAATTCCTAAGGCTATAATAACAGCTTTACTTCCTTTCCGCTTTTATTATTTTAACTTTAAATAAATAGTGATCATTATTAAGGTTATCAATATGTTAAACTGTCATTAGTATGATCTTCTGGTCTGGTGATGATTCTGAATTCCACATTCCTTGTATCTCTAATCTTTTTTTTTTTTTCTGAGACAGTGTCTCACTCTGTCTCCCAGGCTGGAGTGTAGTGGTGCGATCTCAGTTCACTGAAACCTTCACCTCCCCAGCTCAAGGGATCCCACCTTAGCCTCCTGAGTACCTGGGACTATAGGCGTGCACTACCACACCTGCCTAATTTTTGTATTTTTTGTAGAGATGGGGTTTTGCCATGTTGCCCAGGCTGGTCTTAAACTCCTGAGCACAAGCGATTCGCCTGCCTCAGCCTCCCAGAGTGCTGGGATTACAGGTGTGAACCACTGCACCCAGCTTCTAATCTCATACATAGTAATCATTTCTAAGGTCAATGGTATTTTCTGGTTATTCAAAACTAAAGCGTTTAAGACAATATACTGGTACTCTCATTCATGTATGCTAACTGACTTTAGAGTTGTAAGAAGTGTACAGTGTGTATAAAGTAGTAGAAAGATTCCCAACGCGGGAAAACAGGAAAGCGTTTTATGGGCTTTTAGTACATTGATATACCCTTCTTGACAGCAACATCAGAATGGAGCAAAAAACATAAAGAAGTTCAACTTTTAATGGAGTGATCTCATGCTTGAGAAAAATTTAACAGATGAGAAGTTGGATGCATGAGAATTATTCCCAGCAGTGCTCTACAATACAACAAATAATGAAAAACTACCTCGGTGGACAAGAGGTGAAGTAGTGATTAATGTGGTAACAGCATCTGAAACAAAATCTATGATACAATAACGTTAACAAAGAAAAACAATACTAGATAGCAACATGGACAAGCTTGTGATATAATGTTCATGGCTTAAACAATGTAATGATGACGATATAAAATATATATTCACGTCAACAAAAACCAGTCATACAAAAATGAAAAGTTATTGTTAACATTTATTATTAATTTTTAACCTTATTGAGATGTTATCCTTTTAATTAAATGGCAATAGGAATTATTTCTTAATCATACCAATTTCTTTTCTAAGTTCCAAATGCTACTAGATCCATTTGGAACACTAAAAAGAAGACTTTTGTGGGTTTTATCCGAGTTAGGAATCCTGAAAAATCGTTACCACTTTGGTGATTCACAGAATACTTCAAGGTACCTTCCAAGGAGGTCTAAAACAATAGGAAATCAGTTACGAAATTAAGAACACCAAGCAGTTGTTACTTTTTTTTAGGTGTGTATTTTGGCTATTACACCATTTCAACTCATTGTCACTACCGATTTCCTCAAACACCTTTAGAACGTGAAATGCACCATCAGTTTCTACACCGCATCTTTTAATCCCAATCAGGAGGCTGATTCCATGAATCAGATACGGACAGTATTAGAGATCCAAAGGCTGAGGTTTGCAAAAAGGAATTAAGGTAAAATGAAAAAATAATTCTATGGCAACAGTGGTAAACTCAAAGACTACAGGAGGGGCCAGGAGAGAATAGAAATGAGGATGGCAGGCCGGGAGTAAGTCATAAGGAGGAGTGGGGACTGTGGCAAAGTACGAAGCTTGCCCTAACAGCAGCCACCCCAACAGAGCTCCACAGGGGCTGACATGCGTGAATGCAGACCCAGGGCTGCCAGATATTCAGAATCTTCCAAAAGAGGCCAGAAATATTGATGCTCATGTGAGATCTCTTCAATTTTTAACTGTCGATAACTAACTTGAATTAGTTTTATTTTGGATTTTCCTGCAATAGTCAAATAACAGCTGCCCTTAAGCTTATTTTGGTTTACGGGCTCCTTTGCCACTTCTGCCCTATATTCACATGCAGGGATTCCTTAAAAGGATGATTTTTATTTGCAAGAAGTCACATTTTCTTTATTTGCCATATGCCCCATTTTCAATTTAGGCCTCTTCAAAGAACAAGTAAAAAGAAAGAAAGGAAGCAAGGAAGAAAGAAAAATGCAAAATAGTGAAGCTAAGGTCAAATGTGAGTATGTTGGTCAGCATAAACCAGTGGGGATTTGCAATCTACAAGAACATTCTACTAAGACCTAAATGTTCTTGAGGAGCAAAATTGTAGAGGATTTTACTTTTACTCTCAATATAATGATTGAGGAGACATTCTGAGTCACTACAAAAGGAAATCGCCCCCAAAGCCTTGTCATACATATGGCTCCCTTTAAGGAAATTACATTGAAAATGATAAGAGAAAACTGGCCAAATATGACCAAGACGGAATTGCCATGAGCTACCAAACTGCAAATAAGATCCAAGTGTGTGTGTGCGTTGTGCTTGTTGCTAATTTCCCTTTACCTATCCCATTCCTTCCAACTCCTATTTTCCATCTTTGGCTGGTAAATCGAAGTCTGTCATTCTAAGGAACGTGAGTGAAGGAGGAAACGGGACGCTAAGTATAAGGCAGTTTTTACTTGAATTGTAGGAATTTATTTTTTTGTTTTGTTTTGTTTTTGAGACAGAGTCTCACTCTGTCACCCAGGCTGGAGTGCAGTGGCGCAATCTTGGCTCACTGGCATCTCTGTCTCCTGGGTTTAAGTGATTCTTGTGCTTCAGCCTCCCCAGTAGCTGGGATTACAAGCGCACACCACCGCGCCTGGCTAATATTTTATATTTTTAGTTGAGACGGGGTTTTACTCTGTTGGCCAGGCTTGTCTTGAACTCCTGACCTCGTGATCTGCCCACCGTGGCCTCCCAAAGTGCTGGGATTACACGCATGAGCCACCGCGCCTGGCCAATTGTAGGAATTTACACATCATGAAAGGTAGACTCTGAGGCTGGGGGGCCTGAGTGACTGGAAGGAAGGGGAGAGTCCATTCAACTAATCATTTGCATCACATGCACCCAAGGAAAAAATGTTTACCTGGTGGAGCCACGGTTAACCTTTTTTCCTTGCTGAGCCGGTGCCCTTGGATGAATTCACTCATGGAAGGGGGGCCCTTCAGAAGAAATGATTCTGTGGAGGTGGGATCAGGGGGAACTCTTAATAAATTCTGTAGGTAGGACGCCCCTGAAGTCCTGGGACGGCTCTGATCACAAAGGGAAGGTGAAAATTGTCTTGCAGGAGATCCAAGAAAAATACATATAGGAAACAAAAAAGTTTTACTTTAATTACCTTTCAATACCTCACCAGTGACAACATTATTTATACCGGCATTTAATTTTTTTAATATGTAAATCAAGAGTTTTGCTATTTTTTTTTTTTTTTTTTTAAGTTTCCACTTCAGGATACAACCCTATTTGGAAACTGCTCTGGATACTGGAAAAGAGATTTATTAAAGTTAGTCAGTTTCAAACACAAATAGAAAATATATTATTTGAGTCTTTAACGAAAGCTCCTAAAATAAAAATGTTACCATTAATAGAAAATACAGGGTAACTCAACAGCCAGGACTCTGGAAAGAGGTCACAAAATCAACCCCCTAAAAACCTTACAAGTGGTTTCTCTGGGCAATATTCCCATGCCAAACGAAAAAGCTCAAAAACCTGCTTTCAAGAAAAGGACTACGCGTATTCCATCCCATTTAATCTAAATAAGGACACCCACTTTCAGTCCGTCATCAGTTTTGGTCAAATGGACAAAAAATTCCCTAAGAGAACAGATTCATATCCTTGCCCCGTTAAAGAGAAGCTGGTAAGCAGCACCATTTCCAAAGGTACAATGACTTATAAAATTAGAACCCAGGTAGAACACAGCTTCATTCTTAATATCCAACTTTATCTACCACTTCTTAGGTTGGAGGTAAGGGAGAGGCATATTATATATACAAAGAGTAGCAAAAATATTAACAGACACTTGAAAATTATATTGCGATGAATCAAGAGGAGAGGTTGGGCAAGGGGTTAGAAAGGACTACATAAACACAGTTATCAAAAAGGTTTTGATCTGGAAAGACCCACATTAGCAAGGCCCATTTATAGGCCAGCTCCCGTTTTCTCTTTTCCTTCCCCTCCTCCATCCTCCACGACAAGAGCACATTCATTTTTGCAGTTAACTAAAATCTGGCCACTGCACCGTACCATGAAGATCGCTGCATGCATACCTTTTCCTCTGAGTGCCACTGCTGACCCGAATGTTGGGTGTCTGTGGGCCCTGACTATGCAGGAGGTAAGTGTCTACGGTGGGCACGGTGACTGATGCCTCCCCACTTACTTTAGGGCTGCCGATCTTGCTCTTCCCAAGTTTGCCTTTGCTGCGTCGGGACTGCTCATGGTCAAACTCTAAGTCCTCCAGCCTCTGGGTCAGGGCGAGTTTTTGCTGGATAGCCATTCGTAACAAAGTGTTTAGAGTCTTCTTCTCATCCTCTGCGGCTGCTAACTGTCTCTGCATCTCATCCAGCTGGGTGACATATTCATCACATCTGGAACCAAAACCGGGAAGTTGGTGAGGGGAAAATTTTGGTGAAACTGAATTTGGGACTTAAGTTGAAAAGTAATAAATTTGACTGAAATTTAGAAATTTAGAAGACTGGTTTAAAGGTCTAGCAAAAGAATGTAGATACCTATAATAGAAAACTGGAATGTATGTTCATCCATACAAGGAAGTATATATGGGATGTTTAAAATTTTATTTTTATTATTTTTGTTGTTGTTTTGTTTTCCGAGACTGAGTCTTGCTCTATCACCCAGGCTGGAGTACGGTGGCATGATTTTGGCTCACTGCAACCTCCGCCTCCGAGGTTCAAGTGATTCTCACGACTCAGCTTCCCGAATAGGTGGGATTACAGGAGTGCACCACCATGCCTGGCTAATTTTTGTATTTTTTTTTTTAGTAGAGACAGGGTTTCACCACGTTGGCCAGGCTGGTCTTGAACTCCTGACCTCAAGTGATCCCCCAGCTCAGCTTCCCAAAGTGTTGGGATTACAGGCGTAAACCACCACGCCCAGCCAATTATTATTATTTTTTATTTTTGAGACAGAGTCTTGCTCTGTCACCCAGGCTGGAGTGCAGTGGTGTGATCTTGGCTCACTGCAACCTCTGGCTCCCGGGTTGAAGCAATTTTCCTGCCTCAGCATCCTGAGTAGCTGGGATTATAGGTGCCCGCCACTGTGCCTGGCTAATTTTCATATTTTTAGTAGAGATGAGGTTTCACCATGTTGGCCAGACTGGTCTCAAACTCCTGACCTCGGGTGATCTGCTCTCCGAGGCCTCCCAAAGTGCTGGGATTACTGGTGTGAGCCACCGCGCTTGGCCATTATTATTTTTTAAAGAGACAGGGTCTCACTACGTTATCCAGGCTGGTCTTGAACTCCTGGCCTCAAGTGATCTTCCTGCCTCGTTCTCCCAAAGTGCCGGGATTACAGGTATCAGCCACTGCACCCAGTCCATATGGAAACAGTCTTAATGGACAACAACTTAAACCCCAGGGATACAGTTATTGTGGGGCTGCTGTGTAACAACAGAAAAACAAACAGTCATGTTGCACACAATGTCCACAGTACCTGAAATGTCTTAGGGTAGCTCTTCGTACTGTATAACATTGCATTCTTTAGAGGAATGTGACAAGCTTACTATAGGCAACGCCTGTAGTATCCAAAAGAATAATGTCTATAAAAAATAATTCTTAGCTATATTTATACATTTTAGTTTAATTTAGTATTGATTGCAGCTGTTCTTGCCAATTTGACTAATTTGCCTGAATTAGAAAACGGAATATTTTCAGTGATTTCTCAACCAGATGATACAGCAATGAGTTGTCAAAAAACATAACACCCTGCAAAAACCAAGATTTGCACAAGACTGTCTGAAACATCTTTATTCAGGTTTCATACTTGTGCCAAAAAAGGAAGGTAAGCTCAGTGATCTTCTTCCCTTACCAATGCCAAAACCTGAGCACATATACATTTGGAAGGGAGACATGGTGTGGGGAAAAAGCTCATTCTCAGTTTTTGTCCCGAGTTTATTTACGCACTAAAATACGAGTAACAAATTATTGTTCATGCGAGAAAAAATGGCATGAAAAAATGGAGTGAAAATGGACAATTTGGGGATAATAATTATTATTATTTGAGATGGAGTCTTACTCTGTCGCCCAAGCTAGAGTGCAGTGGCGCGATCTTGGCTCACTGTACTCTCCACCTCCCGGGTTCAAGTGATTCTCCTGCCTCAGCCTCCTGAGTAGCTGGGATTACAGATGCATGCCACTACGTCCTGCTAATTTTTGTATTTTTAGTAGAGATGGGGTTTCACCATGTTGGCCAGGCTGGTCTTTAACTCCTGACCTCAGATGATCCACCTGTCTCAGCCTCCCAAAGTGCTGGGATTATAGGCGTGAGCCACCACGCCTGGCCAGGGGATAATACTTCTTATATAAATCAGATTCAGACTTGAAATGTTTTTGACATTTTAAAAAATTTCCTTCTCAAAGAGGAAATTTATGTTTTCTTGATTCCAAATATAATCCTGATTCTTTCATCAAAGAGGGGGACATTGTGCCCCATTCCTATTCTCTATCCTGTCCACCACAGTGGCCAGAGGTAAACACATTCTATTCCCAAACACTGCTGTGCCCTGAGACCCAGAAGTCAGTTCCTCTGCACCCCTGCGGGCTCTCGGGCACTCAGGCTTCTCAATGCCATCCCCAAGAGAGTCAATCACAAGGTCTTGGCTTAAGCCTGTACTCTCCTAACATACAAAGAAAGATGGGCAGATTCTGGGGGACTCCTTAAAGTTCAAGAGATTTCCATTTCATTTTTAACACTTGTATCAGCTACATGTAAATCATTTACCAAGTCTGCAAGTGAAGCCTTAGTCATTACTTGGGAATTTTGCATCAAGTTTGCATCATACAAGGTATGGTATGTAACTGGTGAGGTTTGGTCAGGCATGGTGGTGCACACCCATAATCTCAGGACTTTTGGAGGCTGAGGTGGGCGGATTTTTTGAGCCCAGGAGTTTGAGACCAGCCTGGGCAACGTGGCAAGACCTTGCCTCCACAAAAACACAAAAATTAGCGGGTGTGGTGGTGCAAGCCTGCAGATCCAGCTATTTCGGAGACCGAGGTGGGAGGATTGCTTGAGCCCAGGATGTCCAGGCTGCAGTGAACCGAGACGGCACCACTGCATTCAGCCTGGGCAACAGAGCAAAACATTATCTCAAAAAAAGAAAAAAAAAAAAAAAAGCTGGATTTTCTTGACACTGCATTGTGACAACAAAAAATGTTATTTCAACAGTATATTGAAAATCCCAGGATTCTGAAAACTTCAAATCAAACACATTCTTAACAATCACTTCACGTTTAAAAACAAAATATAGGCCGGTGTGGTGGCTTACATCTGTAATCTCAGCACTTTGGGAGGCCGAGGTGGGCGGATCACCTGAGGTCAGGAGTTCGAGATCAGCCCAGGCAACATGGTGAAACCCCGTATCTACCAAAAATATAAAAATTAGCTGGGCATGGTGGCGCATGCCTGTAATCCCAGCTACTCAGGAGGCTGAGGCATGAGAATTGCTTGAACCCGGGAGATGGAGGTACCCGGGAGATGGAGGTTGCAGTGAGTCAAGATCACGCCACTGCACTCCAGCCTGGGCAACAAGAGTGAATCTCTGGGAGGCTCAGGCAGGAGAATTGCTTGAACCTGGTAGGTAGCAGCTGCAGTGAGCCAGGATCGTACCATTGCCCTCCAGCCTGGGTGACAGAGTAAGACCCTGTCTCAAAAAACAAACAAACAAACAAACAAACAAACAACAACAAAAAAAAATATATATATATATTCTAAGTAATTAGTTGATATGATGACTATTAACTTTCATTATGACGGTTATCTTCTCACACAGTACTAAGGATAAGGCACTTTTCTTTTTTTTTGAGATGGAGTTTTGCTCTTGTTACCCAGGCTGGAGTGCAATGGCGCGATCTCGGCTCACTGCAACCTCCGCCTCCCGGGTTCAGGCAATTCTCCTGCCTCAGCCTCCTGAGTAGCTGGGATTACAGGCACGTGCCACCATGCCCAGCTAATATTTTTGTATTTTTAGTAGAGACAGGGTTTCACCATGTTGACCAGGATAGTCTCGATCTCTTGACCTCGTGATCCACCCGCCTCGGCCTCCCAAAGTGCTGGGATTACAGGTTTGAGCCACCGCGCCCGGCAGATAAGGCACTTTTCTATACTTTCATGTACTTCCATCACAGAACTGTATTTCAGGGGTGATAATATAATATTTAGTTATTCTAGGAAATGGGTTTTTTTTTTCCTTATTGAAAGCTTTTTATTTCGAGGGAGAGTCTATTTCTTTGGGGTATATGAGTTCTACAAACAGTCTATTAATAACACTTTACTTAAAAATATTTTTATGTAATAGAATTTCTGGATCCAGAGTGTTCAGTTAGGGGACTCTGGAAAACAGCACAGAAGGTGTGACTCTGGATTCGTCAGTGTGAAATTCCACATATTTTCTTCACACTTTACCATCCTAGACTATACACCAAATAACACTCAGCATGCACAAAGACAGGGCTGTGAACTTTAAAGGCTTTTCCCCAGGTACCACACCCAGTCTTAGGAAGAAAATACTGTTACCTTGTTGCAAACATTGCTCTCAGGGATGAGAAGGTCGCAGCATCTTCTTTCAAAGCCTTCAGTTCATTTCTAAGCTTTGTCATGGTTTCAGTCACCATTGCTTTTTCATTTTCATATTTGTTCTTGAGATTAGCTAGCGCCACCTCAGCTGTCTAAAGCAGAAAAATCACACTGCTTACAATTTTCATATCAGGAAAATCCATCATACAGATTGTTTCATGCTGGGCCTATTATGTTCTTTTATAAAAGGAGAGTGAAATTGATTTAAATTATACACACATAGGTATGCACTTGGGACACAGGAAGTTTTCCTTTAATGTCAAATGTGTTGTGAATTTATAATGTGGTTAAATTGCCCTAGAGGCCAGCTGTGAGCCGGAGTCAGTATCAGGAGCTAAGAGAATGACAGTAGTTTAATAAATATTTAACGCAGATGCTGAAGGGATGGGATTTTAGGACAAGAAGGCAGCCAGAATGAAACTTTATACAAGAAAAACTTGACTAAGAAGTTAGTAAAGCAGCACAGCTTCAGTTGGAATAATCAAACTGGAATATGTTAGAACTCAAATTTTGTCACCTGTGCTCAGTGGGCTCAAAACACAGAATAAAAGATGTATACCATTGTAATTGATAATATGAATATATGATAAACTATAAATCCATGTTATTATATGTTTAAGAGAAAGAAGTAATAATTGCTTTCTAATTTGCATACAATTTGTCCAAACAATGAATTGTAGTCAAATATAGTTATTTAAAAATCTCCATAAAAGTAGGGGTTACAAAATGTTGAATGAGTTAAAACCATTTGTTTGAATCTAGGATTTGAGCACTGTCTGAAGTTCTTGGAAGTAACAGTGTTTCAAATCAAGAGCTCGCCTGGCACACAGTAGCAAGTAAAAAAAAAACACATTGACTGAATCAATGCATAAAATCAGTGTACACTTAGGGACCGCCTGTTTGATGCACAGCACAGTTTGCATATTGAAGCCAAACTGGAAACACATTATATTTACAAACTGGAAATAACTTTTGAGAGTCCATACAAATATCCCATACTAATAAAAAACCCTATTACTAGTACAAAAATCCATTACTAATGGGATTTCCCTGGAAGACTATCCTGGTTTTTAACGTTTCTTTTTGTGCTTGAAATGGACAGTTTCAAATCTTCATATGTAAAGTGCCAACATCTATAGAAATAAATTCTTTCTGTATTAAACCAATGTTGGGATAGGGTACTTTGTTACTGTTTTGATTCCGAAGTAGTTTCTTATGAGTTCTGACTGAATTTGAATTCAGATTAAAATGAGACTCTATTCATAAAATACTTCTGTATGTTCTGTAGTATTAATACTTGGAAGAATCTTCAGAAATATTACAGATTCAGAAAAGTAGCCAGAAGGCAGAAATTGACCTGGGGAAAAATGGCAGTTGTTTAGTGTTTAAAAAGCTTAGACACATATTCATTTAGAACAGAAAATTACGTTTAAGTTGTGAAAATGTAGACATAACAAATTTGTAAGCATAGAGTCCCATGGTCAGTATCTAAAGGGAATAAAGAGGGGAATGACAGACGGCTAGATCTGAAATAGAAGTGCACACTCATTTACTATTTGTGACAAATACCCCAAAGCCTCAGTTTTGTTTGTAGATTCGTTTGTTCACAGACTATGCAAAGCTTTTCCAGAATTAAGTAATTTTTAAGTAACCATAACCCATTGGATTTGCTGAGGTCTGCATTCAGCACATTCTCCACACATTCCATAATTGACTTTCTAAATAAAAAAGTCTTATTTCCAGCCACATAGACCTTTGTGAGCATTCCCTGAATATATCATTCTATTCTGTCACTCCTAAGCCTCTCTACCTACTGTTCTGTCTGGAATTATTTCCTCCTCCTCTGGAAAACAACTCCTTATCCTTTAAGAACAAACTAAGGTATAACTGCTTCTGTGAAGTCTTTTTTGGCTCCTCTAGGAAACCTTAGTTCCTTCCTCTAAATTGTTCTCATAACTTGGATTATAGCACATGTAATGTTTAACTGTAACTGTGTTTCTATCCTGACATTGCCAGGAGGCTGAGTCTTCTGGAAGGCAGGGACTGTGTTAGTCTTTGAATCTTCAGCATCTAGCACAGTGCTAGATGGATGGTGCTTCACAAGCATTTACTGACTTCATCAGAAGGCACTGGACGTGCCTTCTGATGAACTCAGTAAATGCTTATGCTATTACCTTCAGGCTATGTACATATGTGCACCAGAACCGGTAACTGGTTTTCCTGTTCCTGCATTAGTTTGCTAAGGATAATGGTCTCAGCTCCAACCATGTCCCTGCAAATGACATGCTCTCATTCTTTCTTATGGCTGTAGAGTAGAATGCCTATTTTAAGACAGGGAGATTTCCTTTTTTCTCCTTATACCCCAGAATTCTCACCTCAATCTTAAAAACTGCATCAGGGGCCGGGTGCGGTGGCTCAAGCCTGTAATCCCAGCACTTTGGGAGGCCGAGGCGGGTGGATCACGAGGTCAAGAGATCGAGACCATCCTGGTCAACATGGTGAAACCCCGTCTCTACTAAAAATACAAAACATTAGCTGGGCATGGTGGCGTGTGCCTGTAATCCCAGCTACTCAGGAGGCTGAGGCAGGAGAATTGCCTGAACCCAGGAGGCGGAGGTTGCGGTGAGCCGAGATCGCGCCATTGCACTCCAGTCTGGGTAACAGAGCGAAACTCCGTCTCAAAAAAAAAAAAAAAAAACTGCATCAGAAGGCACTGTGCCTATGAAAAAAATCCTTAAGTAAATGAGAAGATTCATAGAGAGTACAGAATATCTATTTTATTTATTTTTTTAACTTTTAAGTTCAGAGGTACATGTGCAGGATGTGCAGTTTGTTAGATAGGTAAATGTGTGTCATGGGGGTTTGCTGTACCAGTCATTTCTTCACCCAGGTATTAAGCCCAGTATTCATTCATTATTTTTCCTGATCCTCTCCTTCCTCTCACCCTTCAACCTCCAATAGGAACCAGTGTGTGTTGTTCCCCTCTCTGTGTCCATGTGTCCTCAGCATTTAGCTCCCACTAGTAAGTGAGAACATGCAGTATCTGGTTTTCTGTTCCTGCATTAGTTTGCTAAGGATAATGGCCTCAGCTCCAACCATGTCCCTGCAAATGACATGCTCTCATTCTTTCTTATGGCTGTATAGTAGAATGCCTATTTTAAAACAGGGAGATTTCCTTTTCCCCCCTATACCCCAGCATTCTCACCTCAACCTTAAAAACGAATATTCCACAATGTCTATAAATATAGTGAATGTCATCTGTTAATACTTGAAGCTATTTATGACACATAGGCATCACAGCAACAGGCCCAACATCATGAACATGTAGACCAAATTCATTTAATTCACTGAGCCCATATTGGCTGGAACTCTAGTGTAATGCAAATGGTACAGGCTGAGCATCCTTAATCCAAAATCCAAAATGCTTCAAAATCTGAAACCTTTTGAGTGCTGACATGATGCCACAAAATTCTACACCTGACCTCATGTAATGAGTCACAGTCAAAACTTTGTTTCAGCCACAAAATTTTTTAAAATATTGTATAAAATTACCTGCAGGCTATGTATATAGGAATACATGAAACATAAGTCAATTTCATGCTTGGACTTGGATCCCATCCCCAAGATATCGCATTATGTATATATGCAAATGTCCAAAATCCAAAATCTGGAACGTTTCTGGTCCTGAATGTTTTGAAAAAGGGATACTCAACCTGTACCACAAAGCACTGTGAAAAGAAAACTTCAGCTAGGAATGCTTTGTTCTGTCCTTAATTCCTGTGGTACTGTCTACATCACTCCAAAGTGCTTGGTAAGTCCTATCTTGTAAACAGCTACAGGCAATTGTGGAACTCCTACTAGATTATGCCATTTATTTTTGCATCCCTTCCCTCCCAGAAAATATGTAATCAATGAATGCCTGTTCACAAATTAGTCTCTGTTGGTTGGCCAAGTGTCCTTACTTATATTTCAGTTAAGCATCTTGACATTTTTATAGATCTAGGTTTCTAAAGGTTGTTAGGAACCTTTCTTTCTTTCTTTTTTTTTTTTTTGAGACAGAGTTTCGCTCTTGTTACCCAGGCTGGAGTGCAATGGCGCGATCTCGGCTCACCGCAACCTCCGCCTCCTGCGTTCAGGCAATTCTCCTGCCTCAGCCTCCTGAGTAGCTGGGATTACAGGCACGCACCACCATGCCCAGCTAATGTTTTGTATTTTTAGTAGAGATGGGGTTTCATCATGTTGACCAGGATGGTCTCGATCTCTTGACCTCGTGATCCACCCACCTCGGCCTCCCAAAGTGCTGGGATTACAGGCTTGAGCCACCGCACCCGGCTTGTTAGGAACCTTTCTAAAGGTTCTTTAGGAAGAAGTCAGGTGGGAGGGGGAAAAAATATATTAAAAAAAAAAACGGAAGAAGTCAGAAGAGTTATCTGATGGGTTGACCAAGAATGCCCCAGGATAGCATGCCCTCGATAAAGGTTGTGTAAGCATTATCTAATATGGCATTGGTGATTTATGACCACTCTGAACATCTCACAAATTCTTCATTCACTCTAATCTTTTCTATTTCTCTCTCTCTCTTTTTTTTTTTTGAGATGGAGTCTTGCTCTGTCACCCAGGCTGGAATGCAATGTCGCGATCTCTGCTCACTGCAACCTCCGCCTCCCGGGTTCAAGCTATTCTCCTGTCTCTGCCTCCTGAGTAGCTGGGACAACAGATGTGTGCTGCCACACCCGGTTGATTTTTGTATTTTTAGTAGAGATGTGGTTTCATCATATTGGCCAGGCTGATCTTGAACTCCTGACCGCCTTGGCCTCCCAAAGTGCTGGGATTACAGGTGTGAGTCACCTCGCCTGGCCACCTTTTCTATTTCTCTAAAGTGGCAACACAAAATAAAGTAATATTTTACCCTTAGGTTTATATAAAACATGTTAATAGTGCAAACAATATTATAGCTTATGGTATAGATGTCAATTATATGAATAGATTTATGGGCACTAGAGATGAGGACACTAAAGCTGCACTGTAGATGACGTAATAAGGGTGTGGTTTCCCCCAGATGATAGCAAATGGAGAAGGCACTCTGTATCTGAAATTAACCCTCATTCTCCAAACAGCAAGAGCTCCCATGACCTAGCACACTGGCACTGCTTGCATTCGCAAGAAGGCATTTGGTGCTTTGTTGCTTCTCTTTATCAACACCAACATTTACTCAGCACCTTTCTCAAATATAACTAAACAAATGAGAAAAGAATTTTCCTGCCTATATCTCGCAGCACTCCCACCCAGGTAAAACTCAAGGGTGGAAAACAAATTCAGTCATCACAGAGAGCTGGGAATTAGGCCGGCTCATGTTGTAAGATTACTACTTGTCCAGAAGTACAAGATGAACAGCTAGGAAAAGCTCCCTATTACTTAAGCTCTGACCCAGCGGAGTTAACATCCCAAATGAACCTACATTTCAGACATGCGGTCACCAGCACAGGTAGAGCTCATTCTCATACTATCTCACACTCTTTTTTTTTTTTTTTTTTTTTTGAGACAGAGTTTCACTCTTGTTACCGAGGCTGGAGTGCAATGGCGCGATCTCGGCTCACCACAACCTCCACTTCCTGGGTTCAGGCAATTCTCCTGCCTCAGCCTCCTGAGTAGCTGGGATTACAGGCACGCATCACCATGCCCAGCTAATTTTTTTTTTTTTTTGAGACGGAGTTTCGGTCTTGTTACCCAGGCTGGAGTGCAATGGCGCGATCTTGGCTCACCACAACCTCTGCCTCCTGGGTTCAGGCAATTCTCCTGTCTCAGCCTCCTGAGTAGCTGGGATTACAGGCACGCGTCACCATGCCCCACTAATTTTTTTGTATTTTTAGTAGAGACGGGGTTTCACCATGTTGACCGGGATGGTCTCGATCTCTTGACCGTGATCCACCCGCCTCAGCCTCCCAAAGTGCTGGGATTACAGGCTTGAGCCACCGCGCCCGGCCTCTAATTTTTTGTATTTTTAGTAGAGATGGGGTTTCACCATGTTAACCAGGATGGTCTCAATCTCTCGACCTTGTGATCCACCCGCCTCGGCCTCCCAAAGTGCTGGGATTACAGGCTTGAGCCACCAGCGCCCGGCCACACTCCTCCTTTCTTGCTCTCTCATTTGCTTGCTAAAGTGGCCCCGAACTATTTAATTTGTTGGTAACAATCTGCCTGGCTTTGTTTCGTTACTCACTCAGTTCCTCACAGCTGCTTTTGCCCTTCATCCCTGACATGCTCATTTATTCAGCACTTTTGTTTCTCTAAGTTTGGGATGAAAAACAAAACACTCCGTTTAATCCTGCTATACTTAGCAGGGTGCGGTGGCTCACGGCCTGTAATCCCAACACTTTGGGAGGCTGAGGCGGGTGGATCACTTGAGGTCAGGAGTTGAAGACCAGCCTAGGACAATATGGTGAAATCCCATCTCTACTTGAAGATACAAAAAATTATCCAGGCATGGCAGCACACGCCTGTAATCCCTGCTACTTGGGAGGCTGAGGCAGGATAATCGCTTGAACCCAGGAGGTGGAGGTGGCAGTGAGCCGAGATGGCGCCACTGCACCCCAGCCTGGGCAACAGAGTGAAACTGTCTCAAAACAATAATAATTTAAAAAATCATAATCTTGCTATACCCCCAGAAATTGAGTCTTGAATCTGAACCTCCAGGTCCAAAGCTGGGTTCCAGTTACTGACCATCAGACCTTCTTTACCGTCTGCAGCCAGATTTCCTTCTGTTCGCTCCAGCTGCCTGCAGGGTGCTGTCTTTCTCGCTGTACCTCCCCAGCTGGTGTAACCTGCCTTGTCAGCGTATTCTGCCAACCTCCATCTCCTGTTTCCAGTCACTCGCTGCCAGGCTTCAGCCCAGCACCACCTGAACTGCCTTTCTCTATCTGCAGAAAGGCATCTGTGTCCTCTGTGTTCCTGCTTTAACTTTCTCACCTCTGCCTCTACCTAGCTGGGCATGGATATTTCAGCCACTCACTCATTGAAACATAATAATTATTCGACATTCTGGGCTGGCACTGGGACATGGTTTTATTTCCCCATCGACCAAGAATCTGAACTGTCATCTTGATGATACTGGATACTCAATAAAATTAGGGAGTAAATTAGCTAAGAAAGCTTTGACTAGCATGCTTTCACCAGTAGAATGAGATTACCTGCTTGTTGGCTTTCAGCACCGCCCTCAATGTGGCAATCTGTTCCCGTTTGGTGCTTAGCAGGGACTTGAGCTTGAGGATCTCTTCCATTAAGGCTTCCTTGTCTTTATCAATCATGGGGGCTAGCTCCCGAGCCGCTGCTCTTTGGCGAGACAGTTGCAAGGACCGGTCCACAGCTTTCTGCAGATGCTTGATTTGGTCCCGGATTATGGCATTAAGGTTGTAGATATTCATTGGTTCTTTGCGGATGTCACTTGTATCCAATACTGGAGATGATGGCGGGGCAGTAATAACAGGAGAGATTGTGGGGGTCTTAGTTGGGCTTGGTTCTTTGCTGGCCTCTGTGTTTTCTTTTGCAACTGGTTCAGATGAGGTCCTTGTTTCTACTGGGGATGACACACCCCGCCTGGCTAATCGTGGGGACAAAAGTCCTCTGGGATCATCAGGCCCTTTCAGGCTGCCACTGCGGGTGACTCTGCTCTGCCTATAGTAATCCAGCATGACCCTGTTGGGAGTTTCATTATTACACAGACACACGTGGTGGTAAAGCTGAGCTAACTCCTCACTGAATGTCACTAACTCATCCTGGGCCGTATTAAGGGTATTGTGATTTTCGTTGGCTATGCTGGTCATCTTTTGCAACTCCTTCTCCATGTGGGCCATCTTCTCACCACTCTCCTTGGTGGTCTTCTCAAGGGTTGTCACCTGCTCATCATACATCTGGATTTTACTCTCATATTTGGCCTTCTCGTCAGTGTAGTTTTCTACAGATTTATTATATTTCTCCTTTAAGGCCTTAATTTCTGCTTTCAGATCAATCACCTCAGTTACTGCCACCCTGTATTTACATTCAAGGATCTCTAAGCCATTGATGTCCACCTCATAATCATGGGTCTCCTCCCCTGAGTCCCGGCCCTTCTCCCCGTCCAGCTCGGCCTTGAGCTCCTTGCTGCTTTGCAGGCCCCTCATGGCATTGACGTGCTCTGTGAGCCGGTGCACCCGCTCGTGCTGCTCCGTCAGTGCCCCCTTGGTGTGTTCCAGCTGTGTCTGTGACTCCTGCAGGTTGGCCAAAAGAATGGCCTTTTCCCGCTCTACCTGCAATGGCAAAAGAGAATCTCTGAATGACTTCAATGCAACGCCAATGATGAACTTAATCCATTCACAGTTGGGCATGTATACACTTAAAGTCACGGCAGCAGAGCCAACGTTCCCATTATTTCAAATTAAACTGGAGTGTTTTTTTATTTCAGCAGTCTGGTAAATCAATCTAAAAGTATATAATTCTAAAAAAACTATACTGCAAGCAGTTACCCATCAATCTCGCTTTTGTCATACACATATACTCATGAAACTTCAATGTTATTAGAACAATCTTATTTTCATTTTTAACACCTTGCAGAAAACAACATGACTTTAAGAGATAAGCATAGTACTTGGTGTTATTTTTATTTTGATAGCCTTAGAGTACATCTGCTTTTCAAGTCGTACGTGACTGTCTCAGGGTGCCTGTGAATCCATCACCCTTTCCTTCCCAGAGCTCAACTCCAAATCAGGTTTAAAACCTAAGGCTTTAACTTACTAAATAATGCCGAGTACTTTAACCACACCCTTAAAAATAAGCATTTAGTCCCCAAAATAAACATGCACTACACTTGATAGTTTCTATCTTTTTTTAAGACAGGGTCTCACTCTGTTACCCACACTGGAGTGGAGTGCAGTGGCACAGTCACGGCTTACTGTAGCCTCTGCCTCCCAGGCCCAAGTGGTCCTTCCACCTCAGTGTCCTGAGTAGCTGGGACCACAGGCGCGTGCCAGGTGTGGACCTGGCTAATTCTGTGTGTGTGTAGAGACAGGGTCTTGCTATGTTATCCATGCTGGTCTTGAACTCCTAGGCTCATGCTATCCCCCAGCCTCAGCCTCAGCCTCCCAAAGAACTGGGATTACAGGCATGAGCCACCGTGCCCAGCTTTAATAGTTTTTAATATAAAAGTCAGAGAATACATACAGAATTTTAGAGCTAAAAGTACAATTTATAAATCAATTCAATTCCTTCAGTCCAAAATAGGAAGTTGAAATATTAGTAATTAATTTAAATAATGTGATACATTTATATAGATGGTATTACCGTGTGAAAAACACTCGTGTCCAAAAATACTGTCTCATTAAATATTGATATATATGAAATTGCAGTGTACATAAAATCACTACATAACATCACTACATATATGAAGTCACTACATATATAAAATTGCAGTGTAAATTTATTATTATTATTACTATTTTTTTTTTTGAGACAGAGTTTCACTCTTGTTACCCAGGCTGGAGTGCAATGGCACGATCTCGGCTCACCGCAATCTCCGCCTCCCGGGTTCAAGCAATTCTCCTGCCTCAGCCTTCCGAGTAGCTGGGATTACAGGCACGCGCCACCACGCCCAGCTAATTTTTTGTATTTTTAGTAGAGACAGGGTTTCACCATGTTGACCAGGATGGTCTCGATCTCTTGACCTCGTGATCCACCCACCTCGGCCTCCCAAAGTGCTGGGATTACAGGTGTGAGCCACTGTGCCCGGCCCTATTATTTTTTTTGAGATAGAGTCTTGCTCTGTCACCAGGCTGGAGGGCAGTGGCACAATCTCGGCTCACTGCAACCTCCGTCTTCCGGGTTCAAGCGATTCTCCTGCCTCAGCCTCCTGAGTAGCTGGGACTATAGGTGCGCGCCACCACGCCCGGCTGATCTTCTGTATTTTAGTAGAGACGGGGTTTCACCATGGCTAGGATGGTCTCAATCTCCTGACCTAGTGATTCGCCCACTGTGGCCTCCAAAAGTGCTGGGATTACAGTCATGAGCCACCACGCCCAGTCCATGTCTTTAGATATAAAGGAAGGTATCAATTCAAACTTTCAAACTTCCTGGATCGTAACATTAAATCCCTCTGAACTCTTCTAAATCCCTAGATGGCCAGTAAAATTATTATAATTATAATATAATAAATATCAATCATTAAGTATGGTTAATATTTTAAAACGAGCTTATTACTTTAGGATATACATGTATACATGTAAATGAATAATACAGTAGAGTAGTATTTTTATAATCCTTTGTGGAACCTGATGCCCCTCATTTAAGTATCATGGTAGTCCTCTCTTGGCAAGGTTCTGGTATGTACAAGTTTCAGTTACTAAGCTTTAGTTAAAACACCAGCTACTCCCCAAACCATGGTTCAAATTTCAATGACCAAATATATTGATTGTGAGCAATGCATAATGCACACTCTTCGCTGCTAGCTCTTCAGTCTATAAAATCACTACATAACATCATGACCAGTGGCCAATGATACTACTTCATTCAAAGTCGGCCAGTGATTGGTTACTACATATCTGGTACTCAGTTCACTCATAGACAGCTAAAGATGTAGCTGCCTTGTTTTGCCTCCTAGTGATAAATCGATGTGATGTTTTACAAAAATGATTAAAACAAGAAAGAAAGTGCAGTAAAGAAACAAAGAGTGACAATGTTGGAAGTGAAATTTGAAAAACAAAAACAAACAAACAAAAAAAACATAAACGGAGCCAGGTGCAGTGGGTTGTGCCTGGAGTCATAGCTACTCCAGAGGCCGAGGCAGGAGGATCACTTGGGCCCAGGAGCTGAGGAAACATAGTGAAACCCTGCCTCTAAAAAAAAAATCCCCAAAAATGGCCGAGGCGGACAGATCATGGGGTCAGGAGTTTGAGACCAGCCTGGCCAATATGGTGAAACCTCATCTCTACTAAAAATACAAAAACTAGGCCGGGCGCGGTGGCTCACGCCTGTAATCCCAGCACTTTGGGAGGCCGAGGCGGGTGGATCATGAGGTCAAGAGATCGAGACCATCCTGGTCAACATGGTGAAACCCCGTCTCTACTAAAAATACAAAAAATCAGCTGGGTATGGTGGTGCATGCCTATAATCCCAGCTACTCAGGAGGCTGAGGCAGGAGAATTGCCTGAACCCAGGAGGCGGAGGTTGCGGTGAGCCGAGATCACGCCATTGCACTCCAGCCTGGGTAACAAGAGTGAAACTCTGTCTCAAAAACAAAAAACAAAAAACTAGCTGGGCATGGTGGCTCGCGCCTGTAGTCCCAGCTACTCAAGGCTGAGGCAGGAGAATTGCTTGAACCCGGAAGGTGGACGTCGCAGTGAGCCGAGATCGTGCCACTGCACTCCAGCCTAGTTGGCAGAGCGAGTCTCCGTCTCAAAGAAAAAAAAAAGAAAATTAAGCAAATTTGCATTGGAAAGTGTAAACATTATTTGATTAGTACACATGATTACAGATAATGTTGCTTCCAAAAGACCCTTCAAAAGGAAAAGCCTCTGGATCAAATAAATATTGGATCAAAACAAAATGTACTGAATGTGTCTGAAGCTTGTTTTAGCAGCAGAAGTGTTACGATCAATAAGGCAATGCCTTTAGAATAATCTTCAATTTGGACTCTGCCAGTTCACATTTAATATAAACATTTTCCTAACCCTAAAAAGGTCTTCATGATAGTATCTCCTGAAAACATCAAATAGAACACTGTCTCTTGCATGTATGTATCCTCCCCATATAACAGGGGTCCCGAACCCCCCGGCTGCTGACCAGTACCAGTTTGTGGCCTGTTAGGAACCAAGCCACACAGCAGGAGGTCAGTGGCAGGCGAGCCAACATGACTGCCTCAGCTCTGCCCCCTGCTGGATAAGTGGCAGCCTTAGACTCTCATAGGAGTGCGAACCCTACGGTGAACTGCACACTCCAGGGATCTAGGTTGCATGCCCCTTATGAGAATCTAATGTCCCCCGACCACCCACACGCTATCTGTGGAAAAACTGTCTCTTTCATGAAATGAGTCACCGGTGCCAAAAAGGTTGGGGACTGCTGCTATACAGTACTACTTCCATACTTAATACATTTCTGCTGAAATCAATTGAATAGGGAATTGTATCGAAATTACATATATATTACACACATATATAAATATATATTAATACTATATACATATATCATATATAACTATATATATTTCTCCCAGATAATTAAGTGTGACCTGACAAAAAAATTACTAAAATACAGGTAATTTTTTAAAACTCCAACAGTATATTTTCACTCAGGTATTGAGGCTTAGCATACCTTAAACTGTATTTGGATTTAAAAGAGCAGATGCTTAGACTGTTTCAGATTTAGTGCTTTCAATGAATAAAATGCAAAGCACTTTAAAGCTTAAAATTACTATACATTTTAAGTATTACTATTTTAATTTCCATTTGTAAAGAATTTATCCAGCAGAGAGTTGAGGAGTTTATTATAATCCTCTGTAGTGACTGAGAATAGTTGAGAAACAGCACTTCTGAAACTGGGGATTTTATTTTTTCACAGTAGGCTTGGTTGTCTTGCCAGAAAACTTGACTGCAGTATTTGTAAATTGTTTAGCCTAGTATAAGTACATAACATATGTTTTTTTTGTTTTGTTTTGTTTTGTTTGTATTTTTAGTAGAGACGGGGTTTCACCATGTTGATCAGGATGGTCTCGATCTCTTGACCTTGTGATCCACCCGCCTCGGCCTCCCAAAGTGCTGGGATTACAGGCTTGAGCCACCGCGCCCGGCCAGTACGTAACATATGTTAACTACTATTATTGTCGTTACTATATCCCATAGAAATTATTTTTAACTTCAGTGAGTGTTTACCTTTTATTTTTTATTTTCTTTTTGAGATGGAAGTCTCACTCTGTCGCCCAGACTAGAGTGTAGTTGTGTGATCTCAGCTCACTGCAACCTCTGCCTCCTGGGTTCAAACAATTCTCCTGCCTCAGCCTCCCGAGTAGCTGGGACTACAGGCACACATCACCACACCCAGGTAATTTTTGTATTTTTAGTAGAGATGGTGTTTCACCATGTTGGCCAGGCTGGTCTTGAACTCCTGATTTCAGGTGATCTGCCTGACTCGGTCTCCCAAAATGCTGGGATTACAGGGATGAGCCACCACACCCAGCCTTAAAGACTCTTTATAAATAGAGATGAAGTCTCTCTACGTTGCTCAGGCTGATCTTAAATTTCTGGCCTCACACAATCCTGCCAAC